TAATATATTTCTCTAAATAACTTATGGAATTATCCTGAAAATACGGCTTACTAAAATCGATTTTCCCCTCATTTGACTTCGAGAAATGAAAAATTCGCCTCAAATCACTAAAAAACCGGTCAAAATCCCCTTCATTTGAAGCCACATCAACTTGAAATTTATAAGGCACGAATTGATCCTCAAAATTCTCCTTGTATGGGCATGGAAGTCCATCAAAAGGAGGGTTGTGAGCTGCATCCGCTGAAAAAAATGGTGAAAAAATTGAAGAGATTTGAGCGGGAGCTTACAGGGCTTCCTTCGGGGAAATTTCGACAGTAGATAAGGCGTAGTGTGGGTCGTTTAATGGACATTTTGGGTTTGACCGGTTCTTCGTTCACTAGGTTAGTGTTGACGACGTCCCCTTTCTCGTAGTAGGTTAGAGTACAGCCTCCTTCCCCATCTTATTCAGAAGTTTATTTAACTTTGAAAATATTAAAAAACCATAAAAAGAATAATAAAAAAATCTTTCAGTAATGCAGGGTGAAGTAATTTATTTTATAAAAAAAACATTTTGGTTTTTCATTCTAATTTTTGAATGAAATATTTCAAACACCTATGCGACGCCTATGGAAGAAACTAGAGTTCCTATATTAGAACATAGAATAAGAATTAGAAGAGTTGGGACACTGAATGTCAGTTTTCTAATTTTAACGAAAAAGGATAGAACGTATATACCTTATCCACATAATACGAAATTGGTTCGGTTTGACGTTCAGTGTCGCAACTCTTCAAATATAGGCAGTAGAATCAGTTTGACGAGTGTTGAAAATTTCCAGTCAAGTTTTAGAGGTAAAAACATGAATAATAACACTTTTTTATTAAAATTTGATCAAAAATTGATCTTTTGTCATGAGTGGCAGGTGTGTAGAATTCGAAAAATTCGAGTTACACGTGGCCATTCATTCCCCCCAATAAATACAATAAGTCAATACATACTCAGATATTTTAAATTTTTTTCAAAAATAAACCATTCTGTGCTCGATTTTTTAATCAAATTGGTCCATTTTTAACTAGCCCAGTCAAATTAGACATAAATAGGGCGATCGGTGGAAAAAAATCCTAGAGAGTTGGATTTTTTTTAAACGCTTTCTTTTTTCTTGGGTAGACATACAGTGCGCTAGAACTCGCGCCCCAGAGAGTATTTTCAAGTAAGGTAAGATACCAGGAACATGAATAAAATGTTTTTCTACTTTGCGTTCGTACTAAGGTCCATTACGAAACTGTTATTAATCTTATGATTTGAAACAACTGAAAGCAAATTGAATTTATTGGGTGCAACACTTCATTAGAGAGTCTATAAATTCTTCCGAGTCGTCCTCATATGCTGCATCTTCGTCTTCAACTTAAACATTGAAAACCGATTTAGTCTTGTTGAGTACAATATTAATAAATAGATGATTTAATATCGATGATTTAAATAAAGCTTACTGTAAATTGAATGTATTGGATTCAACAGTTTATTAGAAAGTGCCCCGAGGGTCTATCAAGTCTTCCGAGTCATCCTTATATGCTGAATTAGCATTTGCCTGCGACTTTGTCCGCGTGTATTTCTGATATAAAATAGGCTTATTAGATACTCTATAAAGTTAGATAATTGCCTATGTTATGTATAGGATTCAGTTATAGTAGTCTCGTTCTTCGCACGGGGTTTGTTTATGGATAAATATTAAATGTTGATTTTCAGTGTCGTCTCAGTGCAGTTCTGCACTCTCAAACTTCGAAATTTCATGTTTCTAATTTTGTTTTTAAGCGTTTAAACTCTATTTTATTTCATTAAAATTAGAAAAGTGCACTTCTACACTCTCTAAGGATCATATTTTCTAAATATAATGTTTTTATATCCCTTTAAATGTGTACACCGTTTTATTCCCTTAAAAACTAATTTTCGAAAAATCTGATTTTAGTGCCCCTTTACACCTCTAAAGAATTTTATGTTTATATCTTTGTTTAAACATTTACACCCCATTTAACCCCCTTACAGATTGATTTTCTCTTTCATCCAAAATTTTTATTTATATCTCGGTTTCAGGCAGACCAGCTTAGTTGGGGAACGCTCTACAAATATAAATACTATACTATACAAGGTGATTCTTTTAGAGCCTACATTAGAAACTTTTTAACTTCTAATGCAGATAATAATTTGAAACTTTGTACACAACCCAAGTCGACTAGTCTAAAGTTCAATTAAATTATTTTCAAAATGGCTGAACTTACGGAACTACGAGAAATTGACGCCCACTTTGAAATGTTAAATGGTACCCACTTAATTTTATTGCATTGTTGAATTTTCCTCTTTAAACTAAGTAAAATGTACCTAGTTGTTAGTACCTGTCATAGTTTTTGACATATGTTAATTTTTTGGTCAAAATTTTCACTTGCAGGGGTTCATTCAAAACATCACAGCTCTTGAACCCTTTGCGATAAGTGAATATTTTTTTTTGCATTCGATAACCAAAGGTTCGAAACGTTTTCTAGAATTTTCAAAATTGTCAACTGTCAAATTGCAAGGTTAGTATGATTTTTTGAAAATGATCATTACCAAACAGCTATAACTCAGTTTTTTCAAATGAAATGACTCTATTTTCTCAACGGCAATCAAAAGTACATTAATTTATAAAGGGACTTTTATCAACATGTCCTATACCTATCTCTTACAGTTTTTGAAATAATCACGAAAAACATGTTAATGTTTTTATTTTTATAGTTAATCACATTGGCTTTGAAAAAATACAATAAAGATATACCTACCATAATTAATACAGATGTTCGATATGTTTACCATTTTCAAACAGTCCAAAATTCGATGGTGAACTGATTTGAGTGGCTTCCATTATTTCATTTGGTTGAAGATTATTAAATGCCGTCTCAATCCTTGCCTCAATTCTTCGTAATTCCGAATGGGTGTTGTGTAGACTAAATCTTTAATACGTATTGATCATTTTCCAAAGCCTACGTGATTGACTATAAAAATAAAAAACAAAAACATGTTTTTCGTGATTATTTTAGAAACTGTAAGAGATGGGTATAGGACATGTTGATAAAAGTCCTTCTAGAAATCGATGTACTTTCGCTTGCCGTTGAGAAAATGGGGTCATTTTATATGAAAAAACTGAGTTATAGCTGTTTGTTAAATATCATTTTCAAAAAATCATATAAGCTTTGCAATTTGACAGTTTACAATTTTGAAAATTTTAGGAAACTCTTCGGACGTTTGGTTATCGAATGCAAAAAAAATTATTGACTTATCGCAAACGGTTCAAGAGCTGTGATGTTTTTAATAAACCTCTGCAAATGAAAATTTTGAGCAAAAAATTGACATATGTCAAAAACTATGACAGATAAGTTCTAATAACTAGATACATTTTACTCAGTTTGGAGAGGAGAATTCAAAAATGCAATCAAAATAAGTGGTTACCATTTAAAATTTCAAAGTTAGCGCCAATTTCTCGTAGTTCCGGAAGTTCAGCCATTTTTAAAATAATTTAATTGAACTTAGACTGGTTGATTTCAGATGTGTGCCAAATTTTAAATTTCTATCTGCATTAGAAGTTAAAAAGTTTCTAATATAGGCCCTAAAAGAATCACCTTGTATACTAATGAAATGTGTTTCAAAGGATTTTTGATGCAATTTTGTGTAGACTCCAAACTTTTGAAGCCTACGGTTAGTCCTACGACAAAAATGAATAGGACCATTTTTGTAGGAAATTTTCATGCAGAAATAGACTTCTACAGAAAATTCTGCATGAATTACATAAACGATGAGTTTATATTTATAGACCCTCGTGACTCCCCCTTCCTTTGATGAAGTATTGAACCCAGTAAATTCAATTTACTGTCAGTTTTTTTTTTAAATTACAAGACTAATTCTGTTTTAAATGAAGATAAAGCACATTTTTTTAAATGATGTTTTTAGTCTTACAACAAAAATGCAAAGGACCATTTTTGTAGGAAATTTTGTAAGCTTTAATTTTGATAAGAAGATAAAAACCTAAAGGAGTGATAATTTCCGAGATATAAGCAAAAAAAAAGACACCTTTAACCCCCTCCTTCTTTTCGAGCCCAAAGGTGGGTACCTTTGGGGACTTTTGATATATGTCTACCCTAGTGTAAAGAAAGCGTTTAAAAAAAATTCAAACTCTAGGATTTTTTTCCACCGATTTGTCTAATTTGACTGGGCTAAACATAACATGACTAATTTTAATCAATTTCGTGCGACCTTCAGAACACAGGTTTCTTTGTTGCCGAGTGAAATTAAGCGGCTTGTTTTTAATCAGTGATGTTCTTTTTATTGAATCTAATCAATGATTATTATCTTAAATTGGAACAATGGTTAGTTGGAATTTTCAGTCTTCAAAATGACCGGCGAGAGTGGATATCTTCCCCAACATAAGGGTTTCGCAACTGCTGCAATTCACGCGTTTCAGGAACCGGAACAATGGGACTCCATGGCTTTAGTCACCCCCATGGTGTCTTCCACAACTTTTAAACAATACGGCCCTGCAAATTTCAAGGTAATACTTTTTTCTTTTTGTTAAAAATAGTCGTGCGTTTTTTTTATTAAAAATTGCAGAAATACGGATACGGTCGCTCCGGCAACCCCAATAGAGAAGTTTTAGAGAAATGTTTGGCAACCCTTGACAACGGAAAATATGGGCTGTGCTGGTCCTCAGGCCTAGGAGCTACCACAGCCGTGGCTAGTCTTTTTAAAGCCGGGGACCACATCATCTGCGGGGATGACGTCTATGGGGGCACTAATCGGCTCTTTAGACAAGTCTGTTCGAAGTTCGGACTCGATACCACCTTCGTTAATGAAAAAGATATTGAAAAAACTATCAAACCCAACACCAAAGTAAGTGTGCTCAGAATTGGGGCTAAAATCAACGCAAATTTTAGCTGATTTGGATTGAGAGTCTTACAAACCCGACTTTGAAAGTCATGGACATAAAAGCAATGGCTGAACTTGCCCACAAACATAATGTCTTACTGGCCGTTGATAGCACYTTTGTGACCCCCTATTTCCAACGGCCGTTGGAGTTCGGCGCTGATCTCGTTATACATTCAATCACCAAGTACATCAACGGTCATTCGGATGTTATCATGGGGGCCACAATCACYAACAATAAGGAGATTTACGACAAACTGAAATTTCTTCAAAATGGTAGCCCTAATATTTAACACTAGTGATGCTTGAAGGCAATTTTCAGCTATGGGAATCATTCCTGCSCCCTTTGATTGTTATCAGGTGACCCGAAGTTTGAAAACTTTGGCCTTGAGAATGCAACAACACATGAAAAATTCMATACAAGTGGCTAAGTTTTTGGAGAAACACCCCAAAGTCGCCAAAGTGGTCCACCCAGGGTTGCCTTCGCACCCCCAACATGATATTTTCAAAAGACAATCGTCGGGTTGTAGCGGAATTATGTCCTTTTATCTCAAAAATGCGACTCTTGAACAATCGAGAACGTTTCTGAGCTCGTTGAAAATTTTCACTTTAGCTGAAAGTTTGGGCGGATATGAGAGTTTGGCTGAACTTCCGTAAGTTTTTTTATTTTTTGTCAGTAATAATGGGAGTTTTTAGGTCGGTCATGACTCATGCTTCCGTTCCTGAAGACCAAAGGAAAGTCTTAAAAATCACTGATGATTTAGTTCGGCTRTCTGTGGGTCTGGAAGACGTTGAGGACTTGATAAATGATCTCCAACAAGCACTTGAAAAAATCTAAATTTATTAATAAATAAAAGTACGAATTATTACACCTGGTATTTCTCATTTTGTACAAATATTCGAGATATTCTCGATAATATAATCACAAGTCATCTTATTCAAACTCCCACACTTAGCTAAATGCATTCTCACACTAGTAATATATTTCTCTAAATAACTTATGGAATTATCCTGAAAATACGGCTTACTAAAATCGATTTTCCCCTCATTTGACTTCGAGAAATGAAAAATTTGCCTCAAATCACTAAAAAAACGGTCAAAATCCCCTTCATTTGAAGCCACATCAACTTGAAATTTATAAGGCACGAATTGATCCTCAAAATTCTCCTTTTTATCCACCACCATGCACCGAAACGGCGACGCAATTAAGGCCCCATGTGCGCTAAACGGCGACAAAATCACCCCTAAACACGGCGACGTGGTCCCTATCCACATTTGAACGTCTTGTTGCGTCTCCAAATCTTGCTGTGAAGGCTCAGGGGCGAAAGTCGGGTGCGAGTGGAACCACCCCAAGACATCTAACCCTCGATTGTGGATCAATTCGGCGGCTTTTGACTGGGATATGGGGCACATGTCGCAATGCGTAGCCGAAGATGCGATATTTCGACACGGTTCGTAATGAGAAATGGTTAGAATTTTTTTGGTCGGGTTCCAAGTACCAGCGACTAAGCCCATGACTTCGGTAAGGGATGTGTGGGCATGGAAGTCCATCAAAAGGAGGGTTGTGAGCTGCATCCGCACTCTATATTTTTGCTGAAAAAAATGGTGAAAACATTGAAGAGATTTGAGCGGGAGCTTACAGGGCTTCCTTCGGGGAAATTTCGACAGTAGATAAGGCGTATTGTGGGTCGTTTAATGGACATTTTGGGTTTGACCGGTTCTTCGTTCACTATGGTAGTGTTGATGACGTCCCCTTTCTCGTCGTGGGTTAGAGTACAGCCCCCTTCCCCGTCCTATTCAAGAGTTTATTTAACTTTGAAAATATCAAAAACCATAAAAAGAATAATAAAAAACAAATCTTTCAGTAATACAGAGTGCTGTAATTTATTTTATAAAAAAACAATTTGGTTTTTCATTCTAAGTTTGGAATGAAATATTTCAAATACCTATGCGATGCCTATGGAAAAATCTAATAAGATACCTATATTGTTATGGAAACTGCGATGTTTCCAAGGAAACCAAGAATTTTTTTAATCAGAGGCGTAGTGAATTTTTTTAAGGTACTTAGGTCCAGTTTCATGATCGAATTAAAGAAACTTTAAGGTTAATGTTGGTTTAGAATGTAAAATTTTGCTCAAGGAGTCCGTATAATTAGCACATTCTAAACAACATTTAATTTAATGCTCCTTTAAATTTGATTATGCAACTGGCCCTTATTTTAATTTTTTTTTGCATTCTTAATTCTCTCAGAATCGCACACCTGTTCATAAAAAAATACTTGCAATATTCCTGTTTTTTTAATAACAAAGTTAGAAATGAAAAAAAAAGAAACAAATCTAAATGATCTGTTTTATTTACCAACATTTGAAGTTAAATATATTTTTTAAGAATTGTATTTACTCACATTGGCGAATTTCCGCTTAATCCTCGGCCTGCACCCCAACTCAATGTTTTGTTTAATTTGGTTTTTGCCATCTTTTAAATTTTTTTCGCTTTTGCTTGTGACACTTTGAAAAATATCAATTAATGGACGAATGTAATTGGTTTGTGCTGGAGTTAAAAACAATTAAAATTTGTTCATTATTTAATAAGAAATACGTACAACATCCAAAATTAATTGCTCCTATTTGTTCCAAATAACAGTGAATTCTGCCTAAACAATTCACGTCGCCGCAGTTTTTTAAACCTTGACGAATTGAGGTTTTTGTGACATAAGATGGTTTTGATGTGAGCCAACAATTGATTATGTGATTCCTTATCTAAAAAAATGTTACCAACAAACATTTTAAACAATTTTTGTCATACTTTAAGGTAACGTAACGGTGTTTTGGTGGGTCGTCCCTCAAAAAATTCGCTGTGGATAACTTTCTCCAATTCGGTTATGAAATTTTCTTTAATTGTGACTTCAGATTGAGGCGTTTCTAAAGTTGTGAGTTCTGTCACAAGTGATTCATCCAATACTGATAAATCTATTGTTATTTTCGGTGGCTTTGAGAAACTTTCAAAATTATCATTTTCCTTAATTTCAGTGTTGTGTAACACAGTTTCATTTCTTAGAGAATTATTTACTTTAATTTCCGGCTTTACTTCATCAGAATCTTCAATATCAATCTCCACATCAGAACCTGAATCATCTTTGCTTATTTTTACCTAAATATAACTTCACATTAAAATAAAATTGGAATAAAAAGTAACATACTATTTCCTCCCCTTCACATATCGGTACTGCCAACCCTCTCCCAGTAGTAATCTCAACCCTTCCAATCTCAGTTTTCTTATTTTCCTGATTCATAATTTTAACAGTTTTCTGTTTAACGTGATTCATTGGAAATTTCAGTTTTGTTCTAATTTTAAATTTCACTGGACGTTTTAATTTATTCTTAATTTTCTTCTTTTGGTCCAATTTAGTTGCACTGTCAGTGCTTTGCTTTACGTTAGTTTTTAAAGTAGGACTAGACACTTGTGATAAATCTTCATCTTCATTACTATTAAAAGAATATTTCTTTTTGTGCGGTTGCTTTATAGGTATTGTGGGTTTTGCAGTGCTTACAGCTGCAATAACTTCCTCAATACTTGCAGGAATCTGCAACAGGGCAACTTTACATTTGCTTCAACTTAATTAGGAAATAATTAACCTGAGTATCATCTAAAATATCTGAAACTAAATTACTAACAATATTCATATCTTCTACTCTAGTGTTAAAACCATTATATGACGTTTGTGCTTCCATATAAAAATTCTTAAGGTAGTATTTCACTTCAGCTGGCGTCCTAGAGCCAATAAATTGCGATAACCTCACATTGCTCTTCCCAAATATCTCAATCCCTCTTTCTAGCAAATTCTTCTCTTTTTCCGTCCACCCACTTTCGTCAGAAATAGAATTTTCAGTTGAAACATGTCCCAAAGTATCATCACCGCTCCCAAACTCATTTGGTTTTTCTGACAGTCCGGGGGACAAAACTGAACTGTTATCATACCAGCAGTCAGGATTAGCGCTAGGTTTATCTAAAAGCCATTGCGGGTGTATTGTGTAATCACAGTTTAGGAGATCCGAGTTCTGAGACACAAGCGAAGAGTTTTCATAACTGAAAAAAATTAGGTTAGAGTGAATTATTTACGCAATCGATTATGCACCCTCATGGAGGGCTGTGACAACAATGAAATTGTGAAACCTGTACTTACATGCCGGAATCACCTTTTGTTAAAAAATTATCTAAATTAAAATCGCCTAAAATATCAATTTCGTCATCTTCCGCCATTTTTGTTTTGTTTGATTTGATATAAATGGCCTTGAAACTGGCCTGAAGTTAGTAATGTATACTTTCTTGATCAAAAATACTAAAAATACAGCATTTGCTTTTGATTATTGCAACTAGAAACATCATTTTATTGTATGAATATGGTATTTAGAGTTAAATTATTGTATTTTTTTGGGTAAAGGAACCAAAATATTTTAAATTCAATATCTGACATTTGCGACTAACTTCAGAGTTGTGGTTTTTAAAACTTTAAAACCGTTTTCTCTTGTAAACAATTTTTTTCTGCGGCATGGAAAATAAGAAAGAATTGAGACTACATTCCAATATTGAAGACTATTTATCAAAGGCTAACCTCTACTTATTTGATGTAGAAGAACAAACTGCGATGTTCAAGTCCAGAATAAACTTTTATAAAGAAGAAAGTGTGATAACTGAAAAGTTATAAACTTTTTTGTTAACTGAGTTTTTGTAGTTGCAAAAATGGAGTCTGCACTATCAAGGCTACATTTAATTGAAGACCAATCAAAAATACTTGAGGAGCCTTCAGAAGTGGTTAAAAAATTGGCTAACCTCCAAAACAAATTCGATTTGAAAGAGTTAACTCCAAATGCTGTGGTTCTGTCTCACGTTGACAAGCTTAAAGAACGAAACAACTATTCAGCAAAGTTAAAAATTTGCATCAAAATGTATATCCAATTAAATGAAGAACTTACAAAAAAGATACAACACTTAAAAAGGTTTATTTTTCCCTTTTTTTATTGTGTAATGAAAATTTTTTGTTTTAGTGAGCATAAAAAGGCAGAAAACACAATTAACAACATTGTTACTGCAACACCAGATGACCTGAAAACAATGGAAGTGAAAATAAACAGATATGAGAACGCATTAACTAAATTGGAGGTTGGTTGTTATGTAAAAATGATTGTGATATGACTTTGATTTGTAGAAAAAATATCCTTGGTTGAGGAATGAAAAGTATAGTTTAGTCTATTTTTCAAAAGAAATTAATTTACTGATTAGTGCAAAGAAAGAAAAAGAGGAATTAGTTAAGGAGTTGAGCCCTTATCATGGATTGAAGCCCGACTTGCAGGAAGCTAGTGAACAACTTGCACAAATTAAGTGTGAATACGAGGCAATGAGTAAAAAATTAATGAATTGATGACGCAATCACGTTTACGTTGTATTTATTTTATGTGTGTAATAATATAATATGGATTTTTTTGTTTGTGATGCAACACATTATACATATTTGTCAAGTTACCAAAATGTTGGGTGACCAAGAAGGAGTGTTCGAGTTGGCAAAACAACATTATTTGACACTTAAAAACGCCATTGACATTCAATTAAAACAACGAAGTTCTGGCATGTCTGGTTGCAGTGTTGCAAACAGAAAACTTTCTTAAGGTTCCAGACCCTTTCAGAGCTGGCGTGTACATATTAGTATTACATGTACATTTTTTTTTGCCGCAAATTTAGACTTGAAGAGTTTCTTTCATGTTTGCACTGTTTCTTTATAGGTAAATACAGATCTCTATTATCTTTTTTTTTTAAATAAATTATTGATAAATTTTACTTACTTACCACATGATATGGGATTTTATTTATATATTTTTTTATTGAATAACATGTGAAAACCTTATTTTTCGGATATTCTTGAGCTCTTGATATTTTAGAAATTGTTTTATATACCTAATAATTAAGTATTATTTTCTGTATTTTGTACCAAAAATTAAATAAAAACGTTTTTTAATTATCTCTTATTAATTAGTTCATTTTGATTTTGTATGATTTATTTTTTTTTATTTAATTTTTGAACTTTCCTTTTTGATTATTTGAACTATTTTTATTAGTATTTATAACTTTGCTCTGCAATACTATGTGTTGTTTTTTATTTTATTATATTTTTGATTAAATAAAGGCTTATTACTATTATTAATTTAATTTGCTTTCTTACAATCACTTTAAACAAATAAAGTATTTTTTTCCTTGTCCAAAAACATAACATATTTCAACATACTCGTATTATATACAAAAAGAAAACTGTACACATGTAGGTGCTGTTTCAAGAAACCCTTAATAATTTTACCAAACATTTTATCACAAAATGACTATTCAGTGAACGAGTTAATCATTTTTCTATACGACGAGGAGTAAAAATCAACTTTTTGATGTTAAAACTATGACAAAAGCCAAAAATTCTCTCCCAACGGAGAGAAATGAGCATAACGACGGGAGAAAATATCAATCTTGATAATTTGTCTCTGGATCTGAAAACGTATGTCTGTTTTTGAACTAACTGCACGTGAAACGTCAAATAAAATGACAAGTCAAAAGGTAAAATAGCAAAATGGACTGGATTTCGTCGCCGACGTACATATAATAATAAGCTCGTTCTTTTTTGAAGGTAAATTTTAGTTATTAAAATCATCTTTTTGATCATGCCATTTTACCTTTTGACTTGTTATTTTATTGACGGTTTAGACATACGTTTTTGGATCTAAGGATTACTCGATTACATTATAATATTCTATTAATATTTTCGTTACTGAGACTGTTCAAAACAATGTCATTTGCAACTCACTAAACAGCTGCAACTTTTTAATTTTATCGTATTAAGAAATATTATGTTAATCTTTATTCTGACTCGCAGTTTTTTGAATAATTCTCCTCGGGAGAAACGCTCGAATGATGATTTTTTTTTCTGTAAAATGACTAAACGCCAACAAATTCACGACATTCCGGTTAATTACTATTGATTCGCTTTGCAAAGGTTTCTCTGTACTTTCAGGACCCCACTTGAACGGCTTCAACCATTGCCTTATTAAATTAATGCTTACGTTCATCTAGCAGCGTCTCGACGCTCCCATTAATGAAAAATCAAAACACAAAAGCTTGCTTTTTCACCCTCACGTAACAAATTACACGCAATGCAAACATTTAGGTTGCAGGTAAGTAGCGAAATCCTTAGGCCAAATACAGGTGTTGCTTGCTTCTGAATAAATTAAACTCGATATGAGCCACTTGGCCAAACAACTTTTATTTATTCAGAGTGGAGTTGATCAGTGTTACAGCACGGGATAAAACTAACAAAAGGACGGATGGTAGTAAGTCGTGGCACGTGGCTTTGTGATATATAACACCAACGATTTCATCCGCAATCGGTTAGCGAAGTGCTTGTAGATAAACATCGATAAGTAATTACTTGTTATTGGAGGAGAAACCGCAAAGGATAACTGCGAATGGAATCAATTAAGACATTTAAACAGACTTTCTGATTGAATTTTTTCGATAATTTTTAGACAAAATTTAATTTGAATTAAAAATTTTGGAATTAATAATTTGGAAATGGGGTTGGGAAGCACACGTGAACTTTTAAACGGATGAAAGTTGGCGACATGTCGTCTAACGTGTGTCTGTTATCCTCTTATCTACCACAATATCGAACAAGGGAACAATAAGTGATACTTTCGTCCTTAAATTGATTACTTTTGAGATTAGTATTGACAAACACAAGATTTTTTTACTCATTTTTGATTTTACATGAATATTTTTTTTTACATTTTTCTATATTCTAAAATTATTTACAAATAGAAAAGGCAAGAATGGCAGTAGGTAAGGGTAAAGCTCTCATACCGTGCTTTCAATTAAATTTGTGATTTTTTCTTCCATTTCTACATCATTCAAGATTAACTTAATTTCAAAAACAAAAGTTTTATATTATTGAAATGAATGTACTTATGTACAATGGCGAGCATAAAATTTTGGTAGGTAATGTCATTTTGAAACTTCATTTTTTTGTCAAAAGAAGTAGTTTCCCAGTGTAATTTTAACTAGAGGGTATATTAGGGAATGACATTGACTACTAAAATTTAATGCTCGTTATTGCACAGTTCCGATCACGGAATTTTGGACGATTTGTCATTCGTTTGACATAAAAATGTAAAACTGGCATAATTTTGTACAACAAACCTCATTTTCAATTTTTATAATTTTTATCCTGACAGCTAGGAAAAAATTACAACAAATCAATATACCTAATTTATTGAAAAATCGTATATGTCCCCGGATAGGTGAAACGACTCTTGTATAAAATATAAGATAAAAAAATTATTTAAATTTTTATTTTTTGGGGTTTAGCCCTGCTTGGTTAAAGACTAACTATTTTTCTGTAGAGGTTTTTGTGTGGCAAATACGATAAAAGTTATTAAAAAAATTTGTTTAGACTCAACATTTAGGCCCGTATACCAAATTTCAAAATCATTGGCCAACTAAGTATGATCTTTATTTTTTTAAGTTTATTAATTTACAAATCAAAGAATTCTATTTGTAACAGTTCTTTTATTACGAATAAAAAAATTACATTTAGATTATTAGTACTAAATAAATGTTTTACGTTTCTGTTAATAAAAAGCAATTAGGAATCACGGAAAAAAAATGAAAAATTTTCGGCCACCGAAAAATGAAAAACAATTATAGTTGGCCGATGATAAAATATTTATTTTTGTCGCCTAGAGAATTTTGTGTTAGTTGGTATCGGTTGGTAACACGGCGCCCACCGGTTTTTTTGAGTCATTTCTGCCGTCTGTCATTAAAAATAAAATTTACAAATTATTAGTTATTAGTGTTACAACATAATAATATTAAATAAAATATTAGAAACAGAATTTAGTTTGCACTCCGCCCGAAATTCGCGAAATTGCCGAAGCAACAACGCAAAATTTGTTACCTGACAAGTCAAAAGCGGCATCCAAAAACTAAATAACCCTAAATTCATTAAAACACAGTGTGCTTTTATAGATAGCCATAAACGACTCCTACTGGACACCTTAATAAACGTATTATAAACGCAAATTAGAAAAAGTTATTTAGTATCAACATTTTTAATTAAAATAAGAAAAAAGGGGGCACAAATTAGAAAAAATTGCATAAAATACTCGTTTTATAATGGCATTGGCGCACTCATCCCATAGAAAACTCGCCTACGGCTCGTTTTCTAACTTGGGATTTTTAATAACTTTTTATCGTATTTGTTACATAAAAGACACTTTACTCCACAGAAAACTATTTTTTTTTATTTTCAAGACATACTTGATTTTTCGAAACTAAAATTATGTTAGAAATTAAGTAATCTTTAACTAAGCAGGGCTGAACCTCAAAAAATAAAAATTTAGATCAAACATCAAACGTCGTTTTACCTAACCGGAGACATACTGTATACAAAAACGTACTGCTGTCACTATTGTATCAAAAAATCGACGTCAAAAATAAATTTTAACTAAAATTTTTTTAAATCTTAACTCCAAACGTCAATCATAATGACAATAAGCGTGGTTTCGATTGACATTTTTGAATTGACAAATTTGTTCAAAATTTCGAGTTCGGTATTGTACAAAATGATCCACAATATGACTTTGTCTATTGACAATACTGAATTGTGAATTTAATTTTTAATTACTATAACTTCTGGTAACTTAACGTTGAGAGCTGTGCATGACAGTTACTGACAGTAGGTACTATTCACTACTTCAAATTTTTAAATTTCAAATCAGTTTTTTATTAAAGTAGAATTTGATAACAAAAAACAAATTTCTCAATTGTTTATTAAAAATTATTAAATATGTCGAGACACGAGATATTTAATTTTCACTGGAAATTGCATTATTACGCATTGAGATTATTAATCGCCGAATAAGAAATGAGTGGGTATAAGTTAAATATTTTTTTCTTTAACAATTTCTATTTTTTAATAGTAATTACTTCATTTCTAAATACCTAAGTACTATAAATTTTATAGGTAACGTAAATAAGCAATTACTCAATATGTTTTTTATTTATTTTTTTTCAAATGATCGATTGCATTGTCATCGTGTCACCACTGTGTGGACTTCAAAAACATTTTTCTCAATACACTTCACATTTAATTTTGTTTTTTTGCAGGTGCACATGTACGAGTCCTAAATTTTTATCTAAAAACATTCTAAAAATTTGGGTCGTGTTCCAAACAAATTGAAAAATCACAAAAAAGTTAATTTTTATAGACAAACATTTATATCGGCTGGCTACTGGTCCACAAGTGTTGACTTCTGTGCATTTTATCTGAAGTGGTATAAAAGTTGTTTTATGTCAAGAATAAATACTTCAAAATCACATGTTAACTCATGTTTTACAATCAACACTTTTGTAACAATTATTATTTTAAGATTTAATCACTGCGATTGTAAAAACATGATGATGCATCGACGAGATAGGTAGGTACTACGAGATTTACATAAAAATAAAATATTAAATATTTTGTTCAATACATCAAAATTTCAAACGTGAAAAAAAAAATTCCTAGATCATGCTTCATCACAAGAATAAGTAAACTGTTATTGACACACAAGTTTTGCATAAACTGTTTCTAAGCACATGATTATCCGGATTATTTCTTCGCAGAAACTGACGCAACAAAAATACTGTGGTTGCACGTTTATACGAATTAAAATTAATTAAGAGTGGTTTGGGACTAATTTACATCTTTGCCACATTACACTTATCGTCTAAAGTTTAGTTACAATTTAATATTTTATTTATTTTTAACACAAATACACTAATTTTTATGTTCCTTGATGATAAAATATAAATTTCATTTAAAAAATAAAAACCATGTCATTTCGGCTTTATTTTCTCGATTTATGTTAACCCAAGTATGAATTCTTGAAAATTGATACGTACAATAGTGTCAAGCCAGGCCGGGGTGTAATTCAATATCGTCTCAGCCATCTCACGAAAAATAATCCCGACATTTTTTATAATATAGGAAGTACAGCCTGCAGGGTGGGAAACAAATTTCTTTTCACATATATTTTCCCAGACGATCTTTTCCACGGAAAATATTACAAGAATCGATTGCGTACTCCGCCCTGTCTCAATAATAGAACAGGACGAGCTCTCCCATTGGCCGGAAAACTCCGGCGACGAGCCAAACAGGGGGGATTAAAAGCGGGGCACCGCCCATTTTCAGATTTTCAACCATGAAAAACTGAAAGAAAATTATTTGTGATTAATCGATTTTGAAAGAGGATGGTGTCGAAGGACTTCCGGATCGACGATCACAGGGATGGATTAAGTTCAAGTCAGGTGGTTAGCGGGTGGTATAGCGAATATCGATGACTACAAACCACGGGAAGCAACGAAATGTGACACCGGCAAAAAAAGACAATAGGAGCATTTGAAGAATGCAAAAATTTTAATCTAAAAAACATCTAATTGAATTTGTCGTTCTTGTTCAGAATGGTTCAAGTGTTTCCGCCATCCCAAAAACTTAAATTTGCAAGTTGTTAACAAAATAAAACTAACATTTTTAATTTTTAACACCAATACATGAAACATTATTATATCTCACTTAGCAGGAAAAAGTGAAACAAATAAATGTATTGAAACAAGTTTTTTAGTGCAAATAAAAATAATAAGAAAAACATTTTTCAATTTTAGTTTCCCCAATTATTGATGATAGTAAGAATAAATCAGCGGTTAAATATTTTTTTATATAGGTGTCAATCATTGGTTTTGTGATAGAAGTAATTAGTGCTTTCTGACGCAAAATTCGCTCATCTTTTATCACCGAAAAAAGGAAAAAGTTGTTGAAAGAGTGGAAGTCCACAATTTGTCCTTCCACCGCAGATAAATCGCTCAAATCAAGTGTCTTGTTGATGTAATAATAGATGACACCCCCGATGGGAAGGGGCGCGGGGCAGTATTGGACGCAGATAGGGTGATCGGTCACTCATACCACTGTTTAAAACAGTTTGAATATGTAAACTGTAATGAACAGATGATCGGGCGGGAAATCGGACTTTTCGAAAAATGAACCGAACACTCGTTTATTTTATTCAAAATTGTTGTATCAAGGTGAGTGTTCAAGTGTTTGTGGAAATTTGAAGTGGATTTGTGTGAGATTAGGATAATTGCTATTGTTTTTGACAAATTGATTATCTCCGGCTTTAGGAAATTGTGGAGGGTTAACAACAGGTTTGTTACCATTGAACGGGGAATTTCCATTTTTAAATTAGCAAGATTTTTTTTGTTTTGATGATATTCCAGATTGCAAAAAAATATTAGTCCAGAAAGACTGAGGGATAATAAGGATACTAATAATTTCTTTATACACACATTTAATTTGATTTCATTTATTTCACGTTAGCAATGAATAGCCACTTAAATTTTGGGAAAATATGTTTATGACGACACGTCAATCAAACCTATGCTCGAGTTCAAAAAACAGGTCAAAATCAGCAAAACAAAACTGATGAGTTATCAGGTGACACACAAGAGACTATTTTTTTCGTTGGTGACCTTTTTTATCACTGTTATCATTAGAAACCTTTTATTGTACCTCGATCGAGCATAATGATAAATATATGCATTCGATTTCATTCAACCTTATTTGGAGTAATTTTCGTAGAATCGTTACAATGAAAAAATATCGTCATGTTTCAGCGAAAAAGCGATTTCAGGCTCGGTTACCATGACGACCAATTAATAGAGAACTGCCATTGTAGGGTTTCAGGGGTTGGTATGGCATATTAGTTTGCAGGAAATATTTTCAGGAAACAAATTTCGGGTGCTTCCTTTTATCAAGTTTCCTGGTGGTTTATTGATAGAATACAAATGAGACCAAAATCGACTAAGTAGCAATAAGTAATTAAAAATTAAAAGCTAAGCTTTAATTTGAGTTTCTACTAAAGTTTCAGATGGAAATTCTATCTTAAAGGATCTGTAATAATTAATTTGTACTCAACCTATACATACTTAAACCAGTTGAATTAATTTTGTTCTTTCAATTTATTTGTTTCAACAACCTCAAAAAAAAACTACCCATAGTTGATGAAATATTTTTGTTGCCTCTTTTTTACAACAATTAATCCAAAATTAAAATGCAAATTAAAAATCAACGAGTTAATTCTTCCTCGAAAATTTAATTAGCTACTTTAACGTATAAACAGGGTGTGTCAGAACTCACGCCCTATAGAGAAAATTTCAAGTAAGATAAGATACCAGGAACATGGAAAAAGATGTTGACATTTATTTTTTGGCATTTGACATTTTTTTTGTCTATTTAATGACTGATGACATTCTATATGTTTTTTTATAATTATTGAGCCCAAGGAGAAAAAGTTTGCCAATAAAAGTCACAAATAACATTAAACAGAGTTACAATGTAGAATACAGCTTCCTTGTTTCCTCTTCTAATAGCCTATAGCAAAAAAACTTGTAAAATTATTTTTTCTAACAACAATAAATAGAGTCAAAGTGCAAAATTTAAACTCTTATAACTTCGAAATTTTTTTAACATTTTTTTTTACTATCTTGATATCTTACTTTACATGGCATTTTTCTCTGGGGCGTGAGTTTTGGCGCACTCTGTATAACAAGCTATTGACAAAAAATCGATTTTACGATTATATCTAATTTAACAAATATAGAAAACTATTTAAAATTCAGCACGTACTTATTAAATACTTACTTTAAAAAAAATCACCTACGATTTTATTTAATAATTTTAGTTTAAATAGAAAAAAGTTTTTTGGGGTACGGATAAATTTTGAGTCACTTGGTAGGTACATACGTAGTGATTGCGTTTTTTGTACCTTTATGTTGTCAATTAGAGCTATTTTAACTATGTGAGTCTCCAAAATAAGTCTTTTTCGGACTCAATTAGGCAAAATAGTTATTTTGGGTTACTACTAATAGCTTTTCGGATGAAAAAACAATTTGGATACTACTATTACTATTTTCAAGAAATTTTTACTCTGATGACATTAATCATAAATAATAGGAGGTGTGAATGAATTTTTGAGAACTGTATTTTAGGTACTTGTAACAAAATAGCTGTTTATGTATCAAGTACGCAAAATAGGGTTTTAGGGGACGAATCGTAATTAATGACGAGGCGAAGTAGGAACCGAGTCTTTAATAAGAAGAGTCACCTAAGACTTTTTGCATACGTGATGCATACAAGATTTTTTTGTTAAAGCTCCCAAAACACGAATTCACACCTCTTATTAATAAAAAAAATTTCGCCACTATAGTAACCAATTTAATTTTTTAGTCCGCAAAAACTGTTTTTGGAGACCGAGTACGCAAAGTAACTATTTTGCGTACTATTTTATTGAGTCTAGAAAAGACAAATTTTGGGGACTCAAATGAGTCCACAAAATGGCTATTTTTGGGAGCGTATATAAAAAATAAATATTTTAGTAAACTATTAAATTATTTTTTAAGAATATTATTAATTAGTTGTAAAAATAAAAAAATGTACCTCATTTTCCAAAATGTATTTTAAAATTATAGTTATTTATTGTAACAGTGTGTTAGAGAGCGTTTTATCCACGCAAGAATGTTTAACCGCGAGAACGTCAGTTCGAGCGTTTAATTTTCTTAAGCGGATAAAACGCGACTAACACACGACTGCAAAATAACGTTTTATCCACAATCACAGGCCCAAATTATTCCAAACTTAATTAAAAATTAAACTGACATTTAAACGTCACGCCAAATGTGCTTTCGGTTAAACGTAGTAAGCTGTTACGCGGTGCGCTGGTTACTAACAGTGGAATAAAGTTACTTTATTCCACTAGTGGATAAAGTGGTACTTTATACGCATCTAAAGTGTGGAATAAAGTCTCTTTATAGAGTGATTGTGGATAAAATCTATAACATGTAGCTAAAAATAAGTACATTCTTAGTCTAAATATTAGTTAATTCGTTGCTCATACCTATCCCATAGTGTACTCGTATCTAATTAAGAATTACTTATTTCTTTCAAAAAAACATATTACAAATTACCTTCTCTTGTTATTCGACCTGAAGCCATAAATTTTCTAAAGAATTATTACAAACTAATTGATCTTTTAAATGGTTTTTTAATCTCATCAGGGAAATATTTTTTTCTATCTAGTCATTGGTTTTGTTGAGGTTGTAAGAGAATTTATACTTATTTATTTTTTTACTTACGTATTTGACTTTAATTAAATTAATAATAAGTTTAATTTATAATTTATATCAAATCCATATTTGTAATAATTTTAAAATAGATTTCAGTCAGTATGTGAGATCTCATTACACTTTGACCAATTTAGGATAAATGTTTGAAATCTATTTTAGAAAATTTTTTAGTTTGTAATCTTTTAATTTCAATGGTTTTCTTGTTCATATTTTTGATATGAATTTTTCATTTTCCTTAATTCTTATTTTTTTCTATTTTCGAAGACACATCACTTATTTTGCCACCCACTTCCCAGCTTAAAAATTCCTCCATCGCGAAACCTTTTACCATTTTCCAAATCTCGTACGGCTTCTGTTTTGCAACAGGTGCGCAAGTTCGTCGTTTGATTTGGTCCAGATCCAGCTTCACGATGGATGCCAGTTACGTCCCTAACAACCCCCAGTTCGGTCTTCAACTCGAATGCAACTGGAGCTCTGGACCCAACACAACACTCCAACCCTCAGCGTGCACCGACGACCTCTCCTCCTGTTGGAGCGAAGACATGGGCTCTTTCTCCCTACCTCTAGATCTCGAGCCGTTACCGAGCCTTTTCCCGTTCTCACCTTGTAACAACACCACCAACTACAAGTAAGCCATCCAAACTATCGCTTTCATAGCAAAAGTAATTTTCTATTTCTAGAAGCGAAGCTCAAAACCAACCCTCTCCTTACAAACAACCCTCATCCGACATGGCCGACGTCCTCCTCTCCCTCAAACACGCAGTGGTGCATCCTGGCCAAAACCCCGCCGAGAAATACGACCAGCAGCACCTCTACCACCCCCAAGTGCTCCTCTCTCCCGGGGGTTATTCTGGGACTTTGTGCGATCAGGGATTTACCCAACAACCCATGTTTCCGAGTATGTCGGTCAACGTGTCCATGAATATGACCATGCATGGGTACCACCCGTCTAGTTCCTATCCAACGAGTGAAATTTCGTGTCCCCAGGTACTTTCCCGACTACTTTATTGTTATTATTTTTGAATTAGAACTTTTTTGGAAGGTGCAGTGGAGTGCAACTCCGCAAGCTAACTCTCCACCCACATACCAAACCCAAGGACTTTTGAGTCCTTCGTATGGAGGGACGACTTATTCGTTCACTGCTGATTTTAGGCCTCCACAGGAAACACCTGTTTTGAGTTCGTATAAATCAGTGCCTATGTCGTTCTCCTCGCCGAGAAGGAGGCATAGTATTAATATTATTGAGGAGGATAATCAAAAGCCGAACGTTTGTAGAATATGTGGTGAGTTATTTATTTATTGTAGGTGCCGTAGCAACAATTTTTTTTTAATTGTCCACCAATCTATGACATAGTTTATAGGCTTATAATCCCATATTTTCAATAAAAAAATTATCAATTGCAATCAATTGTTTCGAGTCTAATTATAGTAACTGTGCATTTTAATCCGTATTGTTAGGATGTTATAAGGTGATTTTATCTAAATTCCTTTAAATCTTTCCGTTCTTTTAATTAGTTACGTATCAAAAAAATTTCGTGTTCATTTATTTGAACCTATTATGTGCTTACCTATTTCTTTATAGTACTATGAAAATATTCTAGTATGTATGTATAGGTACCTAGATTTAAAAAGTTACTGTTACAACACTATGAAATGTATTGCTGATTTGTTGTCATTTTTTACACAAATTTATTAAAAAATCGGCCAACTAAGATTTTTTATTTTTATCAAGATAGCTTTTTAGTAACTGTTAAAAAATTAATTGAAGCCAAACCTTTAGGTCTGTATAATTTCAAAAACTTCGGCCAATTTTGATCTCTCACTTTTTTTTATTTATTATTATTTCCCAAATTAAAAAAAATTATTTGTAACAAAGATCGCAATGAAAAAACAAAATTGTATTCATAATAATATTAATCAGTGAAACGACTTAATTGTTAAACACTACTTTAATAAACTTAAACTTAAATAACGGGTGTTTCTTTAAATTTGGCATCAAAGCTATCTTTAAATGTTTGATTGTGAACAAACCATCGTATTGAAAGATAAAATTATTTTGAAAACCGACTTCTCTAAAACTTCTTCATGGGTGTTGTTACTCCTCAACTTTTTCTTGCATTATCTTTATGAAATGTACTTAATTTATTATTGTTTTCTTCCACCCCATTACCACTTATTATCCTTACTATAACTCCTTGGTTGCTTTTTCATTAAGAAATCCAGAAGATTGTTGCGATGTGTGTATTTATGACGAAAAATTAGCATTTTTGCTGCCGGAAATTTCATTGTGTTTCAGTGACTACTTAAGTTTGACTTAAGTAAAATTCCGAAGGCATTTCAGCAACGCTTTTCGGTGAATTTGTGGCTGTTTTTTTGGGGAATGATGTGGTTTGTCAATTTTATCATCTAATTTCAATATAACGTGACCGCCTTTCTCTCTACATCAGAACTATTGTATTTGTATTTTTGTGAAGAAGTTTTAGAGAAGGTTGCGAATCGAGTTTTCAAAAAAAAAATTTGATAATTGTTGACAATAATTAACTATTCTGTCTCATTATACTTGTGTACAACCTCTTCAGATCAGTGCTTTCAGCGAGAATAATACAACTAGCAGGTTTTGTCACCCACATGACATCAATAAATGTCAAAATTACAGTAGACCAGCTATTTTTTTTTAAATTCTGAGCAAATTGGTATTATTTTTGTAACCTTGAAACGGATATAATTTTCCATTATCTTCACCACGAATATAAGTAAGCTATTCTTAAATTACATATAGATCATTTTGAGTCGATTCATAGAATATTTTTTAATTGCAAAGAAATTTTAATCCGCGATTAATATCCATTTGGTAATCCAATTTTTTATTTGTTTTAATAAATCAATCCTACTCCTACAAATTTGAAGGGAAAAACAATTTCGTTATCATGAATATTAAAAATTTTGGACTTTACCATTTTTAAATAAAATGTGATGTATGAAACGCAAACTAGCAATTAAATTTCAAATCTATCAAGATTAAGATATAATTAATCAAGAATTTTAGTACATAAATATGACACATTATGGAAAAACTTCCCTACCTTTGTATACATAGGTATAGTTATTGTATTGACTAATTATTCGGAAAAAAAATTGAAATCATTTATTACTGATTATGAAAACTGGTTATTATGAAAACACCAAAAAACAAAAGTAATTTTATAAAATACATAAAAACATAATTGCGGCTGAAGTGTTGCTGAACTTCAACTTTTATTTATTCTGTAAAAATCATTCCACATAGAATAGCAGTTATACCGCTTTATTGAAAATGACTTTTGTTTGTAAATTTGACCTACTTTATAAAAATAACTTTTACTTGATTTCTATCCGTCTATTTTTGTAAAAAAAGTTTTATCATCAGCTTTGAAAAAAAAAATTATATAAAAATCTGTTTTCATATTTTTTATAATTGCATAGTAATATTTTATGCTAGTTGTTTAAAAAAATGCCTCTTTCAGTCGTTTCAGCCCTCCATTTCGTAATCCTTCCTCTTTCAGGCAAAAGCTACGCCCGGCCCAGCACCCTGAAAACCCACTTGCGCACGCACTCAGGTGAGAAGCCCTACCGCTGCATCGACTGCAACAAATCTTTCTCTCAGGCTGCCAACCTGACAGCGCACGTCCGGACCCACTCCGGGGAAAAGCCTTTCCGGTGTCCTGTCTGCGACCGTCGCTTCTCCCAGAGCTCCTCCGTGACGACACACATGCGCACCCACTCGGGGGAGCGGCCCTACCGCTGCCGACTGTGCAAGAAGGCCTTCTCCGACAGCAGCACTCTCACCAAACATCTCAGGATACACAGCGGCGAGAAGCCCTACGAGTGCAAATTGTGTCTTCTGAGGTTCAGCCAAAGCGGCAACCTTAACAGACACATGCGGGTTCATGGGGCTGCCAGTATGATGCCCCCATGACAGGGGCTGCTCATCTGAAACGGTTGGGCGTTTTGACCGCTTTTATGAGAGTTTGTGGGATTAGACTCGGGGAATTGCACAACAATTAACAATGGCTGGAGAGCAAATACGTGGCTTTGGCAAAAATATGAGATTTATTTAAGTTAACGTGAGAGATTTCCTAGCAAATATTTGAGGTTTTGAATGAGTGACAGCTCAAATGTGATTAAAATGTTCGGAACGAAACTTTCCGCGAAAGGCCAAGCAAAGTCGGCCAAATTTACTTAATAAACAGTTGTTATCTGTTGTATAATGAAACTTATCACAGTTTATGCAACTCAAAAAAATGTAAAACTATGTATTTTGAAAATAAAAATAACAACACAATACAAAGTTTTTAGTCAAAATTAAAAAAAAAACACAACACAGCCCTGCCAAAATTTGAAAATAATTTTAACAAATGCAGCTGTGGCAATTTTATACCATGAACAAAAACACGATTTGCCCGCCACACCAAACTTTTATTTAAAACACAACGCGATCCAACCACAATTCTCTTTTATTCTCACCAACAAAAAAATATTATACTACATATAATGTTCTTCATTCAGAATTTTTTTAATCTTTTAAAACATTTTATGGTCCACTTCTTTGTTTATCTTTTTGTTTCACCTAAAATAAACAATTAGCGCGTTTTCCTAAAATTAAACAATATAGCAACACAAGAAATAACTTGATAAGAGACAATAACAACATTTTTAACAGAAGCAAATCATAAATGAGGTAAAACGAAGAAATAAACTCGGTGCATCAAAAGGAAAGTTTTGAGGATGTGTTTACAAGAAGATTTTCTATTGAAAAATGATAAAAAAATTGTAAGAAACGAATTTTTAAACGACAGCCGAAATACAATAAATACAAACACTCTACGCTAGTTGTAGTAAACAAGATAACTCGTGAGAGTGCAGTGTAGAGTTGAGGTTTTGTCATTGCACGTATTGTTAAGGTAATAAACAAAACTATCGATGTGTTAATTAATTGTTGTTGAATTTCTCGCGGGTAAGAAAGATAAGAGCGAAAATTCTAGGGCAGGTCACCAACTTACTTTCAATTGTTTGATTAAATCAGTTCGTATCTCGCACCAAAATCCCAATTTCACGACGTGGTCAAAACGCACAATCCGGAAATCGAAACCCAAATGCAACGATTTGTTATAATCGAATTCATGTAATTACCAAAGAGAGAAATTTTAAGTATTAAGGACTAGTCATTTTTGTAAATAAAGATCTCAATGTTGATATTTTTAATAAAATATTCTGTACAGAAGTTGTGTTTTTTGATTAGTGGTCAAGGAGAGAAAACTCTAAATCATTTAAATAAATACAGGGATTTCATTTTTGTCACGGCTGGCAATGTTAAACCATCATAAATCATCCGACTCTTAGTTTTCAAACAGCGAACGAGATTAATTTACCCAAAAATAGCTCCGGTAAGTATTTCAGTCATTGTTTCACCTTACAAATATTTATACATCTTACTCGAATTTTTATTAGTTTTGTTACAGAAAAATATTTAATTGCTTTTCGAGTCGATTATTAGATTACAATTGTTTTGCTCAAAATTTCAAAAAAATCCACACTTGACAATTTAAATAAGATAAGAGAATTAGAGGGGAGGGTTATTGTTTTATTACGGGGATCTCGTCACAGCAATCATATCGATTTCAAACCTAATCCAAGATAAAAATTGAAAAAGTGAATAAATTGCTTAACCGATATTTCATCAATCTAATTGTGTTTCAACAATGGATCTTGACACAGATACCGAATCTCCGATGCTTCATCCGGCCGCTAACTCCACCCGGAAGCTCAAGCAGTACTTCGCTGCCATTTCCGGTTAGTACTTCCACGTTTAACTTTTTAATCACAATTGGTAACAAACTTGGTTTAAAACAAATATGGTGTAAAATTTAAAAAAAGCCAGCTTGTTGATGTTTTAATTAATTTTGTTTTATATTGCCACCAATTACTAAAATTTATTTTTAGTCTCTTTGGGGGCCCTATGTGCCGGCACATGCCTCGCGTGGACCTCCCCAGCCCTGGCCCAACTCTCCATCACCGCCAACTCCACCGAGAGTTTCCACCTCACGGACTCACAAGGGGCCGCAGTCGGGGGAATGATCGCCATCGGGGCCCTAATTTCTGCAATTCCGTCCGGTTTCCTCGCTGATAGATTCGGGCGAAAAAACGTGATTTTCGTCCTTTCGCTCACTTTCCTCCTCAACTGGATTTTGATAATCTTTGCACAAAATGTGACAACGTTGATAATCGGGCGTATTTTCGCCGGAATTGGGACCGGAGCCATTTGTGTCGTTGGGCCGATTTACATCGGAGAAATCGCGGAGAAGTCAACAAGAGGGGTCTTAGGGGCCCTTATCAACATGTTTCTCTGTTCCGGGATTTTACTGACCTGTGTGTTTGGCTCGTTTACCACTTGGCGAGTCTTGTCGATGATTCTGGCAACGGTTCCGGTGATTTTCGGCGTGAGTTTTCTCTTCATGCCGGAAACTCCGGTGTATTTGGTGAAAACGAAGAACTTGGAAAAGGCCGAGAAGACTTTAATCGAGTTCAGAGGGAGCAATTATGACATCAATACCGAATTGAAGGAAATCCAGAGGGAAGTGGAAGCCTCGCAACAGAATTCGGCGAGTATCAAGGACATCTTCACTTCGAAAGCCAACAGAAGGGCTTTCATGTCCGTGGTTGCAGTCCTCGCTTTCCAACAACTCTGCGGAGTCAACGCTGTTGTCTTTTACACCGTGCCAATTTTCCAAGCTGCTGGCAGCTCGCTTCCGCCGGATGTTGTCGGAATTATTATCGCTCTTGTTCAAGTCCTCTCAGCTTACATTTCTCTGCTAGTCATCGAAAAGGCTAACCGGAAATTCTACCTTATGCTCTCCTCCGTCGGAATGCTCCTTTTCCTCACAGCTTTGGGCATGTATTTTCACCTCAAAAGTCTTAATGTGGACATCGGCCATCTCAGTTTTATCCCCATTGGGAGCGCTGTTATGTTCATGATTTCTTTTTCTTTCGGTTACGGCCCCATTCCATGGTTGCTCATGGGTGAGCTGTTCGCCCCCGAAATTAAGGGTGTAGGAAATGGGTTCGCGATTGCAACGAATTGGTCGTGTGCTTTTCTAGTGACTTACTTTTTCCCCATTATTAAAAGTGGGCTTGGGGCTCACGTTGCGTTTTATATTTGTGCAGGAATCAATGCACTTGCGACTGTTTATGTCGGGTTTATAGTGCCTGAAACGAGGGGCAAAACGCTGCTAGATATTCAACAAATTTTAAACAAATAACTAACTGATTATCAATTCTATTCTATTCTCTTAATTTTATTTATTTATGACAAGGTCTCACTAGGTTAAGTTTTTGTACAAGACTGTATAGAATAATAAATAAATTATTTTTGTAGTTATAAAAATGTGTTTATTATTTTTTATCTAATATTACTATAATAATTATACAAAAATGGTCGCAAATTTTATCTAGTACGCATTGTTGGCTGCCTAACATGTTCTCTAAGAAGTCGAGAATGTCTAGCGACATCTTGTTGCGAGTTTTCGGTTCTTTTATCACAATTCTAACTTACAAGAAGGTTTCTATGACCCGTAACAATTTTGTGCAGCAAACATTAATTCTATATAAATCAATATTAAATACTTATTTGTACCTAAAGTTATTGTTATTACATATCTATATAAATAAATTAAATAGTCTACATCCCTACGGTTTTTTCTTGAAAGTATCTGGAAGAAGAAGTGTAAAGTTGAGCTTCCAATTCACAAAGAAGATTAGTTACATTTTTTTGGAGTTTAAAAGAAATATTATGTAGATATTTGATATTGTTTACTTTTTTTGGTTTCCTTACAACATAGTTGTGTTGAAATGTAGACATT